AAGTATACATTTGAAGTTCCAAGTTTAACGGTGATAAATTTAAAATAAAATGAATATTTTTGGTTAAAAACAAACTCTACGGTATAGTAATTCAAAACTTAGCTAAAAAAAATACTATCGTTACTCTTGAAGGCAAAATTATTTACGAAACGAGATCAAATTTATCTTTTATCTTTTTAAGCCTCATTTCTTTTTCTCTCTCTTTCGATTCTCTCATTCGTGTACCTTATCCTGTCGCTAGACTTTTGTATCCATATTTTTATTCGTTCAAAAACTTTCTCTTCCGTAATATTATATTTATTTTTGATCATTTCTAAAAAATATATATTAATTAATTGAAGGAACTAGAAATTTTCTTAGGATGTCTTAAATTTAAATTGTTTACCGTTAATTATTTTAGGAAAGTTAAAAGAGTCGATGCGCAGTTTATTTTCTTTATGAATATTCCAAGTCAGTTGGTTTGCTAGTGAATCTATAATAATTTTTTCCATTATATTTGCCACTTCCTTTTGCATATCACGACCACCGATGATACTAATTTTTTCAATCTGTAAGAGAATAGGCTTTCAAATTGTCCTACTAGAGGTGACTAAGCATACGTTAATGTTAATAATAACAGATATTTGAAAAAGGCCCATTTTTATTGATAAAAAGTAAAAAGTACACTTACAAATCGATTTTTTAAAGCCTGGTGCTCAACTTTGTTGAGATCACTGTCAAATTTTTTCAATTTATCCTTATCAGAAATTGGTAGCATTTAAAGAAGATTAAATGAAGTTTGCATGTTTTGTACAGCTCTTTGTCTACCGCCTGGTCCATGACTACGCATCATCATCTGCTCAATATTTCTTAAAATTGATGAATTTTCATTTTGCTTTTCCAAACACTCTAATAATAGAGTTCTGCAAGCATCAATAACATAAATAATAGTAATTTACATATTTTTCTCAGTCGTACTTTTGCTTGCTCATATAACAAAAAAAATATTTACTGCAGCATGTTGTTTTATCATGAAGAGCATCCTTAATTTCGACGTAGTCTATAGCTTTTTTGCTTGCTTTTGTAGATACCATATCAGAAGTTTTAGTTCAGATTTCACTACGTTCTTCGACTTGGAAATCATCAGGACTAAAATTCCCATCTTCGTCCTTTGGTATCTGCCCACGAAAGTCATCTTCATCAAATAACTTGTCTTCTAGAGAATCATAAGAAAATCTTCACATAATATCTTTTCTTAAATTACCTAAATGTTATACCTGATTTTCCAGCTGTCTGATCTTCATAGATATTCGATGAAGGTGACGCAGAGTTACTTTTTGAGGTAGTGGGTTGGTCATGGTGTATTTGTGGAACCTTTGTTCTTGCAAATGTATTTGGAGATTCCAGGGGTTTATTGCAAATAGTTTTAGGAGATTCCAATAGTCTGTTATCATTCAAAGGCTGGACGACTATAAAACATAAATAAATGAATCATACATTTGTAAATATATATTTACTAACAAAAAATCTATTACATAACCTTTTTTATTGGAATATGTAAAAGTTTTT